CAGAAAGGGGTTTGAACCAGGGTCTCCAGCTCCTAGTCCATCACCCCAAGCACTGCACCACACTGGCCCCAATTCCCCTGATTTCAGTTTAAGAATTCTTAAAACCAAAACATTTTGTCTTTATAGATTAACCCCTAGAGAGTTCAACTCGTATGGTTCACGCCGAGGCAATGATGCTGTTATGGCAAGAGGAACTTTCGCAAACATACGCTTACTGAACAAATTTCTCAGCAAACAGGCACCCCAAACCATACATTTCCCTTCAGGAGAAACTGTGAGTATTCTTCCCGTTGCATTAGGCTTACACTCAGAAGTTGCCCCACAGGCAGAAGTATGAAGCTGCTCTTGAGCTGCCTAAACAGAAATTGATTGACCTAAGACCTTTTCATTTATTACATTTCGGAGTATCGAACCAGGACTACAAACTACCCATGATCCTCCCAATGTGCATGGTCACCATTGTGTCTGAATAGAGTATCACATGTATTTTCCAGCTGTGGAAGCACACAATATTAACTCTTGGCAAAAAAAACTGTAGGCAGTTGACTCCAGAAAAGCTGGTTTGGAATGTTGATGGATAAGGTGGCAACTTCTTCCCCTTCTCCCAGAATCCACTTTAGATCATCAAGGACAAAGTTTGTTCACTGAATGTACTGGAACCTGGTGGATTGTGGATGCTTCTCTGATGTTTCCAGGCATGCTGCAAGAGGCTTCCTATCTGTTGATTGTGATGTTGAGAAGTTGTTGTGTCATACAAGAGCTGGGAACTGCTGTATATGTGAAGTGTGGCTCATGGCATGAAGCATTAGAACTTATCACCTGTCACATGGTTTCATTGTTTTTGCTAACTGGAGTCGACTGCATCTTGTTTTCTAGCTTGATGTGTTTGATGCTTCAGAAAGGTACCAGCAAGCAGGCCACTCTCTCATCGTGCTGGCTGGTAAGGAATATGGTTCTGGAAGCTCCCGGGACTGGGCTGCCAAGGGGCCTTTTCTGCTGGTGAGTGAAACCTTCCCAGATGGGAGATTTTGGGGGGTTCATGAAAATGATGTTGACAGGCCCCTGTGTGCAACAACCAACATTTAGCACATTTAAATCTTAGCATTTTGAAAACAGCAATCCAGCATCCTTTGAAATTAACTAATATAGGAACTGACACTTCTGAAAACATTTTAACTTTCATTTTCATGTTGGAGTCAGGTCTTGGTGCTTAGAAAACTGCTGGAAACTTAAAAGTCTTTCCCCCATGAGTTATACAGTCATCATTCTGATATAAATTTGGAACAACTACATGACACAGTTGTAGCGTAGATACATGAGAGGGGTCATGGTTATTCTGCTCAGCAGTGTACTTGGCTCCTGGGCAGGGAGGGCAAGCATAAGTGTTGTCTCTATCCCCCTCCTGCATAGTTTCCACACTGGATCCTCTTCCCACATAATTTCTACAGAGAGGCAAGATTACATATCAGCAACCATCGTTCTGTTGACTTAAGAAAGTGACCACAATACTAAAGGAAGGAAACAAGCCAAAAGTCATTTTTAAATGCTCAAGAGTAAGGAACAGGAGACTTTAGGGAGCCATAAACGTATCTTCTGTGAAGACATCTATAAAAGAATGTGGCTTGTCCTATGGATCTGTCTAAGCAGGAAAACGGAACTAAGGAACTGGATTCTTAGTGGTGATATTTGAAAACTGGAGATGTTTGCTCTCTCCAGGCTAGACTTGCAGCATGTATTTAGGGAATGTCGTCTACAGAACGGCATCACTCAGGTTTCCGACCCCTAACCACAAAGTACTTTGGAAAGAGATTAACCAACACTGATCTGCTAAAATTGGTGGGAGTGCTCTTGTCAATATGAACTTGATGATGAATCCATCTTATTATCCCTCATCAGATGTTTGTCTGTCCATTCACTAAATGGATGGAGGGAAGTGGGATCATGCCCATTTGTCCTACCCTGAGGTCTGTGCGTTCAGCCAAGTGCCTGCTGTGAGTCCCTACATCCATGTTGGCGTATGTGTGGAGTTTCCTCTGTTCAAGTGGGAACACTCTAAAAAGCAAGTCTGGATTTCTTAGAGTTGCCCATTTACATGAAGGTGTATACGCTTATAGGATTGCTGCAGACATTTGACTGAGCATGCGGATATCAGAACATGAGGCTAGTGGGTATAATCCTGTTACCCTTCATGTACTTTCAGTGAATATGCAGCTAAACGTCTGAGCACTTCCAGTTCTGCCAAAAGATAGTGTTTGTCTGAGAGGAAGTTTGATGAGAGACATCCATGGGTTGTGCTGAAGCAGTTTTTAATACATAAAACGAAAAATCTGCATTTTTAGAAGGTCCTTGAAGTTTCAGACAACACATCTATTGCCTTATGAAGACACACCTAACTGTTTCAGTTAACTTCTTCATACTATCTGTGGCCATTACCGCACAGGTTATCTGCCCTGAGTGCAGTGATTTTGCAAAGCAAGTTTCCCCCCCTGATTCCCCACAGTATAACAGTGTATTTGTGCGCTTTAAAGGCCTTTCTCCGACCTTTGTCAAACCTGCTGTGCTCCAGGTTTTGGGAAAGACGGCAGTAAAGCCTGGGTGGCTACTGTGTGGTTGGGAAAATACGGAGCATTCACAGCTTATACCGTTTTCTGCAGCTATCTTGGGCATTTTTAGTGTAATGCTTAGGTAATTGTGCATAATGTGTTTCTGTTTCCCAGGGCATCAATGCAGTCCTTGCAGAGAGCTATGAGCGTATTCATCGCAGTAATCTGGTCGGAATGGGTGTGATTCCGCTGCAGTATTTGCCAGGCGAGGATGCCAAGAGTCTAGGGCTGACGGGTCGGGAACGTTACACAATCATCATTCCTGAAAAGCTGGTGCCCAGATTGAATGTACAAATCAAAGTAAGTAGACATTCTAGAAGAGCTGTGCAGACAATCTAGACATATACCCCAGATAGGTATCTCCATTGCATTCTTCAAAGGGACTGATTCTTGACAATTCAAGGCAAATCTGCCCTTTGGGGTGGAAACTAAAGTCCCCCAGAGCTTCCTACATAGACTGCAATGAAAGAGCAGCGTCCTGTAGTTCGGCCACTCGAATGGCAGCTTTCAAGTGAGAACTGTGTATTGCTCTCTTTTTGTCCCGTTTCTATGGAATTCGTTCATGGAAGCTTTTTCTCATTAGGTGTGTCAGTAGGTAAACTCTGAATGTTTTGGCTCAGATGCCAACTAAAGATGGGATTATAAGAGGTTTCCATGGCCGTTTTCACTGAGCTGCCCTTTGTAGTACATTCCACAAGCTATTTAAGGCAAATCAACTTAAGGTCTATTGGCCAAGGAATAGAATTCCTTTGCAGAGCCACGCTCCCAGGTGTGTCCTGCCCACTACTTTTGTTTGCCAGCTATATTTCTTCTGTTAAACAAAAGCTGAATCTGTCCTTGCATAAATATGTTATAGAATTAACCTACAAGTAGTGGCTCAAGTGGTTAAGACGCTGAACTGCAGGCTGTGAAAGGTCAGTAGTTCAGCAGTTCAAGACCCAGGGTGCCGCATGACGGAGTGAGCTCCTGTCTCTAGTTCCAGCTCCTGCCAACCTAGCAGTTCGAAAGCAAGAAATTGCAAGTAGATAAATAGGTACCACTTTGGTGGGAAGGTAACAGCGTTCCATGCGCCTTGGTGTTTAGTCATGCCGGCCACATGACCACAGAAACATCTTCGGACAGCGCTGACTCTTCGGCTTTGAAACGGAGATGAGCACCACAACCCTAGAGTTGGATTCGACTGGCTTTCGAGCAAGGGAACCTTTACCTTTACCTGGCTTGTTGGGGATTTAGCACCTTTTCTGAATAAAGCACTCTCTATTAGCCCTCCCCCCTCCTAGCGCACACATGCACACGATTGCATTGATTGTAATACTTCTAGTCTACTTCACATAGTAGTTGGAAGAATTACCATGATAATATAGAGGGCTTTGATCGCCTAAGACAAGCAATATATGCCTATTAAGAATTACTGTTATTTCACATGTTATATGGTTACTCCTCGTTGTGAAAAACAAATTAAGGAGCCCTTGAACCTTGGGATACAAACTTCCAACAGAAAATAAACCACTTTGGTCAATCACACTCAAAATCAGGGGTCCCCCAACGTGGTACCTGTGGGTGCCATTGGGAAGTGGGTGGGATCAGGTGGGGCTTTCGCCCAGCAAGGCTTCTGATTGACTATTGGGAGACTTGGTTGACTGTGCAGATTTTTTAAAATAATGTTGCAGCAGCTGCCACCATAGCACAAGGACCTGCACTGTGTTACTGAAGTTATGCTGTGGCCATCATTTTGTGACTGACTTTATACCTCCTGCAGTCGCCATTTTGTTGCTGAGCCCCCTCCATGCCATGTTCAAATTCCAGATGTGCCCACAGGCTCAAAAAGGTTGGGAACCCCTGCTCAAAATGATAGGCCAAGGAAAGAATAATTAATTATTGTATGGCAGTGGATGTAGTATAGGCAGATATGAAGATTGTCTGGCAGCCTGAAACTCTGGCTCTTTCTGTGGTGAGCTAGGTTTATTTTTGGGGACTGAAAGAACTGTGATGGGCCCAAGGTCACCCAGCTGGCTTCAAGTGGCGGAGTGTGGAATCAAACCCAGTACTCCAAATTAGAGTCCACCATTCTTACCCCCTACACCAAACTGGCTCAATAGGCCAAGAATCAAAGCACCGTACTAGTAGTGCTGTTGTTATCTCCAGAGACTGTAACTTTTGATCTTCGAACAGAAGTCCCCCTTTGCAAGCCATTTTGTAATCCTCTTATGCAGCACACCTGTCTGCTTTGCAAAGCCCCTCTTAGGATTCTTGTCATCACTCAAATCCTGTGGTGCTTGAGTTGCAAATGTCACGCCCCTTCCCCCCCCTTTTTTTTGGACAGAGACCAAGCAGTTTGATCTTCTTTGTTAATTCTCTCTCAACAGCTAGATACAGGGAAGACCTTCCAGGCAGTCATGAGGTTCGACACTGACGTGGAACTCACTTATTTCCGGAACGGGGGCATCTTGAACTATATGATTCGCAAGATGGCATCCTAGTCCCGACTGCGACTGAGCCAGTGTCCAATTATTATGAAACCTGCCCTTTTTTTTGTAACAAGAGTTGCACAGAAATCATGGATCACGATATAGCCTCTACAGTCTGATGTGAATTGGTTATGTGTGTCTTATTGAAAGGGGATGCTTGACACGGCTTAAGACTGTGAGCCTGGGTGTCTTGCCCACCAGACCAGCCTAGGTTGATTGTTATTACTCGTCCCACCGACAGCACCTTTGTCTATTTTGTATTGGGGAGGAGTAGACTGACAAATTTTGCGAAGACAGGCTGATGCAGTAAAAGAACTCCCTGGCACCTCTTCACCCCTTTTATTTCAACTGACTGGACTGTTTCTTACCCATCTGACATTGGATTAACAGTCCCAGACTAACAGTTATCATTGTCTCCTTTCTATTAAAACAGTTATTTAGAATCCCTTTTTGAGACTACTGCTGAAATGATTACAAAGTGCTTAGCTGTTCTGTATTAACAGTATATATGCTCTCTCAAGCTCCCCGACTTGTTCTTCCTAGCCTTTATTTTAGGGGAAATCTGTTTGGGGGGGGCACAAAGACCATTTATAATTAGATCTATATTCCCCCCCAAAAATCATGGTTTGTCCTTTTTTAATGCTAATATTCACTTGGGTTTCTTAGAGTTTGTTACAGTAAGCTACACATGTGCACACAAATATAAGCCCTTGAGTATTAAAGAAACTTTAGACTAGCATTAGACACTGAAGTGTGAACATAAGAACATAAGAGATGCCAATGTTGGATCAGGCCAAAGGCCCATCCAGTCCAACACTCTGTATCCCACAGTGGCCAGAAATAGAAGTGCCATCAGGAGGTCCACCAGTGGGGCCAGGACATTAGAAGCCCTCCCACTGTTGACCACCCCCCCAAGCACCAAGATGACAGAGCATCACTTGCCCCTGAGTCCCTATCTATACCTTGTGACTAATAGCCACTGATGGACCTCTGCTCCATATGCTTATCTAATTCCCTTTTGAAGCCGTCCATGCTTGTAGCTGCCACCACTTCCTGTGGCAGTGAATTCCAAGTGTTAATCACTCTTTGGGTGAAGAAGTACTTCCTTTTATCCGTTGTCATTCCTGGTGGGAATGTCAATTCTGTAAATTACTTTTTATGTAGAGGCGACTCTAAACGATTTTGCTGTGATGATTTCTTCACACTGAAGCATTGATAGTAACCTCACATGGCTCTGCTGGTTTGGAAATCGTGTGAAAGATTATGGGTTGCTTCCACCAGTTTCTCTGCTTGCATTTTGCCTGATTTTCTTCATTCCTATAGCTCTCACTCTTTTCCAGCAATTTCTCTTTTCTCAATGGAAAACGCCTGTAGGATCCCGCCTTTGTATATTATAGTGAACATGTAGAAAAACAGTTACAAGGCTTATTTTTTGCTTGTGGCTGTAGTTAAGGCTCAAGGACCACTGAGCAATATATAGGCTGTCAACAGCATGGGAATTCATTTCTTTGGGAATGGCGTGTAAACCTGGTGTACAGCGAGATAATACTGTAAAAAGGTAAACTAGGGCGAGGCCTTGAGCATCCTGTGTTGGTGTTGTATACGCTGGGAACATCTTTTCAGTGTTATCTGACTTTTGGAACAGGATACACCAGTTTACCCCTCTTTCCCTCCTTAATACCATTGCTGAGCAGCTCAGTGCTTAGGAAGAAAAGATATATAGGTTACAAGAGCACATTGGCCAGTCACCAACTCTCAGATGGACCCACCCCAAAGAGTTGGTGTCAGCACCTTCCTAGTATTCCTTAGAACTTCCAGTATATTGTTCCTTTTAAATTCACAATGCTTGTGATTTATCGTCTTCTTTAGGAACCTACACATCAAACCAGCTATTAGGTCTTTTGACTTCTTGAATGCCGAAGTGTGGCTCAATAGATATAGGTTCACAAATATTAAATAAGGAATATAGAGGAGTAAGGAAATTATTCTTTAAATCACTCAAAAGGAGTTTTTCCCCTCCCTTTCCACATATTCTTTGGAATTAAGCCACTTAATTGCTATCTTCTCAGTAGCAGAAGACCATCAAACGTGGGTAAATGCCTGCTTAGTGCACAAGTGACTATCCACAGCGGTGCAGAAGCTAAGAGAAATTGGGAGATGGTCCCCCCCCCATCAATTCCTTTTTGTCCATTTAAGATGGAAAAACCAAACAGTTTGAGACCTGCAGCATTTACTATCTTTTCTTTTGAAAATCTATTGTACAAATAGGGTAGATAGTTTCTTTTGGCTCACAGCGTAACCATCTTTTAACCAAACACTCATCATCTTGACAAATTCTAGCATCAAGGTCCCCTACAGTAAGGATCAGATAATTGGCGTACCAGTGGGTCAAATTGTCATAGCCCCTCCCCCCAAAAAGGGACCAATAAGAGGTCAGTGCATGTTGGTTTTGAGTTGGAAAAATACAAGTTGATATTATAAAGGAGAAATCAGTCAATTGTGTCAAAGCAGCTATGTTCAAATCAGATGAAGCAACTCCTTCCAATCCAGAGATACTAAGGGCAGATAATATGAAACAGGCAAACCCACCTCTTTGTCTCTCCCCCCCCCTTTTGGGCCTCCTTAGAAAAATCAATATATCCTGGCTTGTAATAAAATGATATCAAAAACAGACCGAAGCGAGTTAACCTCTGGAGAAAAGATGTTTGGTCTTCCAACCAGCTACGTTCCAAATAACTATTTTCATGTTACTATAAGGAAATTGTCATTTATTGTTCGGAGTGGCATTTTCAGCTGGGCCAGCTGAGAAGGCAACATTAGGATTTACAAAGCATAAAAATTCGGGGCTCAAGAGAGACTGGTACTGAAATGTCAGATGATGGCGCATCATGAGGAGGTTTGTTTAGAAGGAAGGCAATGATCCCTCCCATGGCTCTACGAAGAGTGGGATTTTTCTTTACTTCTGATTTCCTCATGGGTTCTTCTCTCTCTGGACTGGGAGTTTTTATGCAATTGCAATGTAATGAGTTCTGCACTTATTATTTGTCTTGTCATTGTTAGCAGATTTAATTGTGTTCCTTTTTTTGGACTTTAATCAAGTGTTCTTGTAATTGTTCAAACCTCTTGATAATATCCGTTTGCTCTCCAAGAGGGAGAGCCTCAAAAGAATTTTTAAAACTTCCATTAATAGCATCCAAATCATTTTCCTTTGAAAATATTTGGGTGCAATTTTTATTTTTTTTTCACCCTTTGTGGTTCAAACACTTTTCTGGCCTCTTGTGGAGTTGACAGTTTTGTTAAGTCAATCAGTGCAATCTTCGGCACTTTAGAGCTCTGCCTCTTAACTATTAATGTCTACTAATTTTTTATATAATTTAGATACTTTTTGAAACAAATTCAAGGAAAGTTTAGAGGGGAGGAGAGGGGTGACTACAGTGGTGTTGAGGGGGCAATGAGGAAAGGCTATGAAACTATTCCTGATTTGACAAAGTTAAAGATGGAAGGTTTGGGGAGTAAAATAAAAGCGTTAATCTAAAAGAAAGCCAAAGGCTGCTAGATAAATTATAATATTTTAAGTCAATTGTTGCAGGGAGTAAATTTAGAAGTGATGCTCCTTTATAAACCATTTATTACTCCAATTAATAATTCTTCCTCTAAAGTAATAAATATCTAACACAATTCTACAAGGTTCTCGTAATGTTATGTTATTCCCCCCAGTCCTTCACTGGATTCCTATTTGGGATTTGAGTAGAAATATGTTTTTTAATAAATTGTATTTAGAATATATGCAATGAGGAAAGTTTGTGATGTTAACAGCCTCAATTTGAGTCCCCAGTTTTAGATATCCCAGACTGCTGGGACATATGCTGCAGCTCACCCAAGTTCACAGCTGCCTTTCTGGTTAGGGAGTTTGTTCAAGAGATGATTAAAACTATCCAGATTTACATTATTTGGTAAGAGAAGATGGTCTGTGACCGGTTGTAAAGCTTCAAAACTGTTATCAAAATTATGATTGAGTCTAAGAGGATCCTCTGCCCTCCTTTGCTGGGGGGGGGGGGGGGGTGTAAGGTTCTCGAAGGGACCACTGCATTTACAATTCATAATAATCTCTTCTTTAGCAGGGAGGGGAGGGTTTTGGGTTATACAGTAGTTGTACTCGAAAACAAGCCCTACTTAATACTTTAAACTTGTGCTCCTTAAATCCCTGGTGCTATATCCAGCCACAGCTAGGTTACAAAGGCCTCTCATCTTCATTATGCTGGGACTGGCTATATTAAATTGATCTCAGGGAGTGTTACAGTCTCCTACCATAGATTGCCCCCTTGCTATATTAGACCTCTTAAAAACTGAAAAGCTGTCCCCAGATTGCTTTAGGACTAAACTCCAAACTATATGAGACAGTGCCCACTAATTAGTTGCTGAGATCTCTAGTATATTGCATCAATCCCTTACCAAGCTGAGTTGCCCCATTTAAAAATGCCCTAGCCTCTCTGATCCTTATAGAGTGGCTCTGAGTCCTCTATAAAGGTAAAGGTTCCCTTGCTCAAAAGCCAGTCAAATCCGACTCTAGGGTTGCGGTGCTCATCTTCGTTTCAAAGCCGAAGAACCAACGCTATCCGAAGACGTTTCCGTGGTCATGTGGCCGGCGTGACTAAACACCAAGGCGCACGGAACGCTGTTACCTTCCCACTGAAGTGGTCCCTATTTATCTACTTGCAATTTCTTGCTTTCGAACTGCTAGGTCCTCTATACATAATTACCTAATTATTAAAAGTTATTGTTAAAATCAGGGCTTTAAAATCACTGCCCCTCCCAATGGAGCAATTAATAAAAGTGAATGTCCACATCTGTCTCAACCTTAGAACAAATTAAAAACAAAACTAAAGCCCTAGCGCCAGAAATTGCACTAAACAAAGCCGCCACTTCTAAGCAGCTCAAGGGCTTTTCCTTACTGTTAGATTTTCTAACTTCCTGACTTTTCACAGCTTCACCTGTTTAGCTCTTATTGTCCTTTCGTCAGCAGTTAGGAAGGAGGATCAAAGTAGATAAGGGAGGAAGCGAAGAGCTAAATGATAATGAACTGGCAATCACAACTCTCTCAAAAACCCTTTGAGCTACTCAATGCTCCAGCAACGCTGAAACAGGAAAGGGGGAGATTTTGAAAATGTCTCTAAAGCAAGGGGGGGAGAAATTAGAATTAAAACGAAGGACTTTAAAAAACTGAAAAGAAGCTCCACACTTAGATAAAAGTGAAAAAAAGTAAAAATCTCAAACCTATTTGTGGAGTTGTGACCATTCTGAAGAGATGAATTGTTGTTGAGATAGATAATCTAACACAGGAAACCACTTTCCAGTAAAAGAGGTATGCAATGACAATTGAGCATTGGAGTGTATTTGTACTGTGATCGAGTCCATTAGATAATGAGACCATAATTTCTTAAACCAAACCTCAATATGACGCTATGGCTGTTTTGGCTGCATCCAACATAACATCTATGGTTGATCTATTCTGTCTAGAAGATAACTCCTTTGGCCAAACGTTCAAAAATACAGTCTCTGGTGTAAAGGGGACAGTGACTGATGTAATTTTATGAATCACTGATAGTACCTCCATCCAGAAATGTTTGATTTTCTCACACTGCCACCAGCGCAGTAGCATTTTTGATCGTGTGGTGACGTCACAGAGTAGCTGATTAAATTGGGTGTGCAGTCATTGAATCAAGTTTAGAACCAACTTCAGAAGTACATAGTTTAATGTTATGACAATAAAATTCATTTCTTATGTTATCCAAAAAAAAAGCTATGTCTACATTTCATAACATTAAACACAGATACAACCAGCAAGCCAGTTCTGTATTTCAACCGGACATTTCTTCAATGGCAAATGCTTTCATTGCAAAATCGACCTCTTTCCACTTTCGAAAATGACGCTGCCTCCCAGAGACAATGTCTTCCACAATAAAACTCTCCACTTTGATGATGGGTAGATCATCTAAGGTCATGTATTTCACTGTAATGCCCCAGTCATGTTGGCATTCCCTGCAGTATAGCTTGCATCGTTTCTCAAAGTTGCCATAGCCCTTTGTATTCGCATGAGGCCTTGTAATATAGCATTGCCTGAAGTTCTTATCAATGACTGTGTGGTGGGATCCCTGGAATACAAACAGCAGCATTTAATGTCAAAATTCCAAAGACTTGAGAGTTTTCACATAGTTAACCAGTACTAAAAACTGCTAAAGCAAACACCATAACTGAAAGAAAAAATAGCAATTCAGTGCATATTATATAACTAAGTCAAAAATTACATAGTGAAATAAAATCTTGTATAGAGTACAAACATACAGAACAGAAGGTTTCTTGTATTGCTTGTGCAATCAATCTGAATGGTTTCAACAGCACCAAAAAGTTCTCCTGTTGAAAAACAGGTTGTTTACCTGTAACTGATGATCTTCGAGTGGCCATCTATGCATTCACACCTCTGGGATATAGTGTGCCTGCACCGACCTCGATCGCTTCCTCTTGAAAGTGAAAGGGATTTTCGCGCCCGCTCCCCAGTCACGCACCGGCCCCACTGCACATGACCAAGGGAGGGGCACGACAATCCCACCAGTTTCTTCTGACCACTGCCATCAGTCTCAGAGTAATAAAAAAGGAGAGGACTGAAAACAAAGGGGAAGGAGGGCGGGTGGTGTGAATGCACAGATAACCACTCGAAGATCATCAGTTACAGGTAAGCAACCTGTTTATCTTCTTCGTGGTCTCTGTGCATCACACCTCTGGGACATTAGCAAGCAAAAACAGGCCTACCTGGAGGAGGGAGCTGAAGGTCCTAGACTTGCGCTGCCTGCAACACTGCCCGTCCCACCATGGAATGTTGATGAAGATGCACATCCAGGGCGTAACGCTTCATGAACATGTGAGGGTAGCCCAGTTTGCTGCTTGACAGATGTGAGTGAGGAACGACCCTCTCAGGAAGGCTGTGGACGTGGCTACTGCCCGGGACTGACAGTCCCACTCCACTGGTTGGGGTGGGAACCACGGCATACTGCCTGTAAATGGATAGGCCCCATACATGTATTGCCACTGCCGTTGGTCCCAGAAGGGTGGTGGTGGCGGATGGATCGGTGCTGATGGTCGGTCTCGATCATCAGGATGGAGCTGTGAAGGCTGGACAAACGCATCGGCTCCACGGTCTGAGTACAGACTTTCGACACTGGAAGACCGGGAAATCTGTGTCAAGTCCATATCGTGCTCAGAGTCTGTGAGCTGGATAGGACGCAGCAAAGGCGACCAAGGTACACCTTGTGGCTGCTGTCGGCACTGAGAGTCAAGTGAAGCAGCCTCCGAAAGATTAGATTCCATGGCCCTCTGAGGGGTCAGTGGAGATTGCACAGGGGGAGTTTTCTTATGCTTTTTAAGCTTGGCTGGCAATCGTCCTTGCCTTCCCTGCATTTTTTGGAGGGAGTATGGGCTAAGGACTGAGACGTCTGGGCCGAGCATTTCAGCATCGGGCGGTCTACATCTACGTGAGTCAATATCAGGGACGGCACAACCGTTGATGCCAAGGCGGCAGTCGACACTGACGCATGCCCAGAGGCGTCCTGTGATGACATCAGTGAAAGCGCTAACTCCAAGAGCACAACGCGAAGTCAAGCAGCTCTGTTCTTCCTTGTCCGCTTCAAAAACTTCACACAATGAGCACAAGAGTTTACTCGGTGCGATTCCCTGAGGCACAAAAGAAAGTGAGTGTCCGTGGGGGGGGGGGGAGGAACGGGACGGTCTTGCTGCCGCACTTAAGGCACCGTTTAAAGAAACCCCACCTCTTGGTCACAGGCCGGGAGAGGGGGGACGACACACGACAGAGTCCAAAAAGAAAAAAATCCATAGAAACAAAGTCCTTTCACTTAGTAAAAATAAATAAGAAGAAAACGAAGAAAACTTCGAAGAAAAAATGAGGAATAGGCCTAAAAGCCCAAAACATTTTACTGACCGAAGGGATCCTACCAGCACGACGGTCAGAAGAGAACTGGTGGAATTGTCGTGCCCCTCCCTTGGTCATGCGCAGTGGGGCTGGCGCGTGACTGGGAAGCGGGCGCGAAAATCCCTTTCGCTTTCAAGAGGAACCGATCGAGGTCAGCACAGGTGCACTATATCCCAGAGGTGTGATGCACAGAGACCATGAAGAAGATCTTTGAGGGTTCCTGGATTCACAAACTAGATACAAAAGTGCATTATCCTAAAACTATAATATATTCCATAGTATTCATTCGTTCATAAATCTTTTAGATCATAAGAGCTACTTGGCAACTCTTAGCCGCAAATCATATGCCTCTCTGGCTGTGCCTCCTTCTGCTCCTATTAGGTCTCCGTCCGTCTCGTCCAGGCTGGCTGCTTGGCCTCCACCGTCTTGCTGCTCTTCCTCTTTCAATCCGAAAAACCGCTTCAACCATTCTTCCGCTTTGAACACAGAGTCGATTTTTTCTCTTTTATCCTTATATTTAAACTGCACCCCCTCTGGAAAAAGCCAGGCGTATTGAATCTGGTTGATCTGAAGTGTTGAGATAAGCTCTTTATACGCTTTTCTTTTCTGTCGAACCTCAAATGGAACGTCCTTTAGGACCCTGATAGTTGTTGATCCCAATTGCAGGGGTCTGGCTGCTGTCGCTTTAAGAATATCATCTCTTGTCTGTCGCCGGCAAGTTGTTTTGCTTAATATATTTAGAGTAGGATCGATATGTCACCTCGATCTCTGCATGCGCTTCAGCCGGTGTACTGCCGAGCGATAAAACGATTAACTCAGCTGCCACATCTTTCAAAATCTCTCCTGCTATTTCAGCCACCCCTTGGAATCTGAGAGTTTTGTTTGCTTTTTCCATTTGTAGGTTCAGTAGCTTCCTCTCTTGCAGATCCTGTTTTTGTTCCATCAGACCAACTTTTTTCTTCAGCTTTTTAGCATCGTGTGCTGTCTTTTTAAGCTTTTCATCAGTTTGGATCGACTTCTTCACAAGCTCGGTGATCTATTGTTGCTGCTTTGCAATACTCTGGTTCGAAGCGGCCATCAACTGGTTAAGACCATCGAGTCTTTCGTTTATGGGCCGGAGCAGCTCCGATAGCATGGAG